AGGGCCCACCATGCTAGACACTCTAGAGGATATAAAGAAGATTCGGGCAAGTCTCAAGCCTCGAACAGGATGGATTAGACCTGTGCAAAGATACTTGCATGGTGTAAACAGACTGCAGTAAGACACAGGTTAGCGAGTTCAAAGATGCCTCTGGCAGTTGATGAAGATTTCCAGAGGAGGCATTGCAGACAGCTCAACAAAGAAAGACAGGGTAGGATTTAGGTACACAGAGATGAGGCCTGGCGATTGGAGGAAGAAAGGGCATCTGGGCCAAAGGAAATGCATTTCACCTTTAAAGTGCTTTTTGTTTTTTCCCCGTCTTTCTTGGCTGGGTGGCCCCGGACGGTGCATCTGAAACTTTAATGTACGAACGAATTACCTGGCAGTCTTGTTAAAAGGCAGATTCTGATTCGCCAGGTCTGGGGTGAGCAGGAATCTGCATTTCTTGTAAGCTCCCAAGTAATGCTGAAGCTGCTGGTCTGAGAAGGGCGGTCGTGCTTGTTTGTTTAAGATTTATTTATTTATTTTAGATAGAGAGCGAGCGACAGCAGGAGGGGCAGAGGGAGAGGGAGAGAGAATCTCAAGCAGACCCCACACTGGGGCTCAATCTCATGACCCTGAGATCAGGGCCTGCACAGAAACCAAGAGTCTGACGCCCAACGGACTGCGCCACGCAAGCGCCCTGGGAAATGCAGCTAAAGTTCTGGGCCCACGTTCCTACAATGAGGCAGCAGCAGCTGACTTCATAGGGCCGCCTGGAGCTGAGCAGGTCCTTTGGGCCTAAAGAGCTTCTGGGGACAGAGTAGCAGGAGCTTCTTTCCCTGTGGCTATCTTGGGAGGGCGATGGGACCAGAACATACAGAAGAGAAGGAGCTGCTGTGTGTCACAGAGGAGCCCCCTCCAGCTCAGATATGAATGGATTGCATCATTCTCTCCTCTAAACTAGCAGCACAGAAGCTGGGGGAGAGAGAGCAGCTCCATGTGGTCACTGACTTGCTTGTGTTCTGGCAGAATAAAGGACTCTCTGTTAGCTCAAAGCCTAGCCGCTTTGCTGGATCTTGGCGGAGACAGTCACTTTAAACCAAAAACAGGTCTTTCGAAAACATTGCTGAAATAAAGGAAGGAGTCATTAGGATGGTTCAGTCTAACAGACTCCGAACTTAATACAACAAACCCAAGTTTGAGTTAAGGGGGAGTTCCTGCTGCAGGATTGTGTGTGTATATACACACCATCTTAGTGTATATATATATATTTTTCTGCTGAATACTACTCTTCAAGACTTTTAATTCATGCAAGTCAAGAGAAAAGAGAAGAAGAGTCATACTTGGCTATTTGTGATAGAAATTCAGAACTAGTCACTGTTTAGATTTATCTGTATAATGTCTTACTAAATCGAGTCCTAAGTTCATAAATACAAATGCTGAAATCTTTAAAGTATTAATCTATCCCCTCCCCCCTGCCTTTTCTTTGGAAATATAGTAATAGGTGAAAACACACTAGGATATCTGGACAAGAGAAGGTAAACCAATTTTAAAGCATTTTCTATGTATGTTAAATTGTTTTTTGTGAAAACAGGAATGCTATACTGCATCTGGGGAGATAAAATATGATTGCTTGTAGCAGAGGCCGTGCTTCTAAGAAACAGCTCAGACTGGAAACTCAAAACACATTCTGGGTTTCCCCCGCCCATTTTTCTTGCAGTTACCAAGATGCGTGGTCAGGAGATGAAAGCAGTATTTATTCAGCACTTGCTGTGGGTCAGGTACTGTGCCATGTACATTACACATGTGTGCCCTTTTAATCCTCCAATGAATACCATACATAGATGGTAATATGAGACAAGAAATCTGGTATCTAGAGAAGTTGTAGACTTTGCCCAAGGTTATATAGCAAGGAGGAGATGAAACAGGTTCAAACCCAAATCTGTCTAAAACCAAGCCCTTGCCCTTTCTACCATGGCATGCTGCTGAACATCAGATTGTTTTATGTTTCTTGCTGAGGACAGTTTGCTTCCTCATGGCAGATGTTCTTATTAGATGTTAAGTTACATCTAAAGTCCATGGGGTTAGTGACTGGTTAAACTTAAAGACCTCTAAGATCCCTCCCAAACGTTCACCTTCCCTCCCACTGCTGTGCCTTTGCACATGCTGTTTTTAAATTCTGCTTGAAATTCTCTTTGCTTTTTTTTTTCCTTACTAATTACTTCATATTTCTCCTGCAGACCTCAGTTTGGGCATTATTTCTTCAAGAAAGTCTTCCTTTCCTTTGTCCACTATTTCTTTTTCTTTTTTATTGTGCTTTACTTTACTGTGCTCCACAAGTAATGTGTTTTCTTACAAACTGAAGGTTTGGGGAAATAGCAAGAGAACTAGAATTAGAAGTGGAGCCTGAAGATGTGACTGAATTGCTACAATCTCATGATCAAACTTTAATGGATGAGGAGTTGCTTCCTCTGGATGAGCAAAGAAAGTGGTTTCTTGAGCTGGAATCTACTCCTGGTGAAGATGTTCCTTGCATGATGCCACCCTCTGGATCAATTAATTGCTACTTTGCACATTTCATCAATCAGGCATTGGGCAGCTGTCATTGTAGCCCCTCCTACAGCTGCTGCACAAATATCCCTTCCGTGGCTGGGCAGTCATAACCTAGCCCATATTCTACAGAGTCTGGATGATCGTCATCTCCTTCCTGGCTGAGCTTCTGGAGATGCTGCAGATAGGCATCAGCGTGGAAGGTGGTCATCTCCTCCACGGAGGCTACTTTGGGCTTATGTAGTCTCATTTGCTTATGCAGTGCATATGCATCAATCAAAGAATGTACCCTCGGGCCAGGGACATGCTGGCATACTTGGGACTGTAGATGTCAACGGGGCAGCGACTGCCCACTGTCCACTGGGTCCTCCGTTTTCCAATTCAATCTGTTCTGGAGCCACGGTCTGGATTCAGCTTTTTTCAGACTCAACCCCGGCTCTGGTTCCTGTTCCTCTCCTCACTATTTCCATTATATACTTTTAATAGCCCATACCTTTGATTGTGAAAATTATCACAGATGCAATTTTATCCTTATACAGGTGTTCAGAATAGCAGATTCTTTCTTTTTAGAGGTCAGCTATTTGTCTCCTGTCCCCGATGATGCACCTGAATGGAGACAGCTGGTAACTGTTTGTTGATGGGCTTCTGAGTTAGGCATTGGATGAGGGAAATTGAAGATTTTTAAGACTCATTCCCTGCACTCAAGGAACTAACAATCTGATTGGAAACACATGGCTAATATATATTGATTAGTAAATTAGGGACAGAATGTGTACCATGGCAACTCAGTCAAAAAAGGAGGACTTCAATTATAAACCAGCTAGAATCCTGAACGAGTAAAACCATACACCAATACAAATTGTGTGCATAACAGAATAGGGTCCCTAGCATAAGCACCCAAAGCCCATTTCAATGCTGTGGGTCTCCCAGATCCCACCATATCATGTCACTAGAAGTGACAGGTTTCACTCCCAATTGATACATACATGCAACAGCCACAGACATAGCCCTAGCCTGGGGGTGATTCTGTTATTGCCAGGGTAACCATTAGGAATAGCAAAATAATACTGCCAATATTCCAGGCCAAGAAAAATGGCAGTGTCACATGGATCAACCTAAGAGTTGAGACTTCTTGAATTTCTTACCTGAAAACACATCATCAGAACAAAGAAACTGAAAAGCTGTTAGCTACATTGTGTAGAATTAAAAAAAAAAATACAGACTTTACTAGTCTTGAAGACATTGATTGATGATGCTAAAAGTGATGGGCTGTTAAAAATAGTTACAATGCACAATTTCCTAGATCAAGCTGTCTTTGTCCATATCAGTTCATTCCATTTGTTATGTAGACAGCCCTTCCTTTTACAGCCCCAGGCAACCTAGGGCATCTAAATCTGTGGGTGTTTTAGGTTGAGGTTGACACTAGGCATTATAGGTTTCAGGAGAACTCTAGGGGAACGCAGTTTTTTTTCTTGTACCACTTAATGCTCAGAAGCAGGGTTTTGCCATGTGATCTGGTGTCCTTATGACCACGAGTATACTTGTGCCACAAGAGAAAACTGCTTTAATGATTCCCTTTTCTATTCCAGAATATAATTGTAATTTAAAAGTCTGTAATTTGGCACTTAGATGACCTATAAGGCATTCTTCAGTTTTACGGTTTCACGATTAGACATCAAGAGAAAAAAAAACCCTAACTATTCTTGCTCTCGTGTGTGGGATATTTCTGTAACCAGATGCAAAAAACTGGTAACAATGCTTCTTAGAAAGGGAAACTTTCTCTTTACTGAGACTTTTGGACTGAGCTTCTTTTTAATATGTATTATTTACTACCAATAATAAAAATTATTTAAAAAACAAACACAATTAAAATTTAAGTAGACAAAGCATTTTACTTGGAAAAGAACATGTTTATATCCTGTTTATATCCTTTAGAAACGTTTATATCCTGTTCTTGTTCTTCACAATTTTATCATTATTGTGATTTTTTAGAAAAAATTCTTAGAGGGGTGTCTGAGTGGCTCAGTCAGTTAAGCGTCTGCCTTTGGCTCAGGTCATGATCCCAGGACCCTGGGATTGAGCCCCGAATCGGGCTCCCTGCTCAGCGGGAAGCCTACTTCTCCCTCTCCTCCCCACTTGTACTCTCTCACTGTCTCTCCTTCTCTCTCTCTCTCTCAAATAAATAAATAAAATCTTAAAAAAAAAAAAGAAAGAAAGAATTCTTAGGGTCTGTGGGAGGTAAACAGAGATTTGGATGATATAAATTGCTATATATTCTGCAAATATTTGTAACTACCTATTATGTGATAGGTCCAGGGCTAGGTACTTCCTCCTTTCCATAACTTCTGGAAGGCTTCTTGTGTAAACACCCAAGCATTCTTTTTCTTTGAGAGTTCTGCATGCATAAAATGCTTCCCATAGACAAGTGGTGGTTTGTTCTCCATGAATGTAGCAACCAAGGAACTCACCTGCTGTGACAGTGATCCAGGGCACGGGGTAAGTCCCAGGTGTCTCACTGAGGCAAAGACTGGACTGATGACCTGCAGGTGAGACAGAGGGAGCCGTGCAGAGGCTGGGAGTCATTTTGAGTGACTGGCAGTAGGAACAAGTACAGAGATATCTTAATTCACAAAATTGTCCAATTACCCAAAAGCTGATTCCAAAGATTTGTCAACAGAATCCCGCACACAGTAAAAGGGCTTGTTAAATCAAAGAAGCTTCCTGCTTAAGACAACTTTTGTAAAGCCGTAGAACTTCTTTGTTTACATTCTATTTCATATAGATATGTAGGTAAGAACAATGCTTTATATTTGCTTAAACTCTCAGTTTTCAAAGCCCTTAGGCAGACCTATTTGTCTGAATCCTCACAAAACCGCTATGAGAATCGTCAGACAATTTCACATATGAGGAAAAGGCAGCTTCGAGGTGGAGCCTCTTGCCCATGGAAACCCAGGTTTAGACCAGGACCTGGGAGTCCCACCTGTAGGCACTCAGAAAGCCCCACCACACGCCTCTCCAATTACAAGCAGAGTACATGTGACTTTGTTAGGGAAATGCGTCTGATTTTCATAAGACCGCAACGGTGAAGGTGCCCTAGGTATCCCCATTTCTCCCATTCTTCCCCTCCAAACCACCTTCTGGGGTCTGTAGCAGCCCATCTTCCTAGAGCTGGGTCCGGATTATGTCACTCTCTTCCCCCAGCATCTTTGCTAGCAACTGAATGAAGTTCAGGCTCCAAAAATTGGCAGTCAAGTGCTCTGCCCCAGCCTCCATCCATTGCTCCAACCCCCTTTCCCATTTCAGTATGCTATTTCTTGCCCCTTACACTCTAAGCAGGTGTACTACCACATAGTACCCCAGCAGGGCACAGGCTAGGGTGAGGTGTGCCACAAAACTTAAGGGGATGTCAAGGAACTCAGAAACCATTATAAATATTTTGATGCAATATTTTAAAAATTAATGCAAAAAGTGCATGATGAAAAATATCAAAATTTAAAATAAAGACAGGGTCCAGTAGGTTTTTCCTTTTTCTTCAGACTCCAAAATGCCTCTGCAGGGCACTGTTAACTGATCCTGCAGTGACTTCCCCCTTGGATACTTTTATTAATGATGTTTCCCAAAAGTTAGTTCTCATTACCCCTTTCCACACCAGTAATTTCTATTCTCGAATGCCCCAGCACCTATCCCTAGCCCTCTTCTGTCTGGAAAATCCATTTCCCTTAGTAACTGGTAGGACTTTGATGGCCATCTGAATCATCTTGGATCCTTTCCAGTGCCTTCCTAAACCACAGTGGGCACTCAGCACCTCTTTGCTTAAAAAATGCAGAAATCACAATCCTCAAATTAGCTCTCTGTGGGGCCGAGCAGAGAAGGAACCCAGGTATATTTTGTTTGCTCCAGTGTTGTTAAAAACCTGTACTTGTTATCAAGATGTAAAAATCAGGATGTTTTCCATGAGAAAAAAAAAAAAAACGAACTTTCTGTCATTCCTTGAAAAATCAGAAAATCTAGCAAAGGTAGGCCTGAATTCTTCCATGACAGCACTGGGCGTTTAGAACAGTGTGCCTTTAGAGCCCTCTCCACCGCTCCGCGTCCTAGCTGGCTCACTTATTTGCATTACCTGCCAGGCCCCGTTAGCGCTTTGGGTTAGCAACCCCAGGCTTGAGTGCACTGGATAAAACCCATGTGCTTGATCCACTCGTTCTCTGTTAGAATAAATACTTCCTTGTCCTTTCAAACAGTCTTGCAGAGAGACTCACAGGAGCAGCTTACCTTTCCAGCCCACAAACTTCTCACGACCCGTGAAACTTGCATTGCCCTCCGCACACGATTCCCCCCCCCCACCCCCACGGTGCTTGGCTCCAGGGCCCCCTCCCAGGCACTGGCCCGTCCCTCCCTCCCCCGCCCCACGTCCCGCGGTCCGGAGCCCGGGGCGGGTCCCCGGCTCCCAGCCGCAGCTCTCTGCCCCGGGCCAGGGCGCTCGGGCTCGCCCCCGGCAGCACTGGGCATGCTCAGAGGCGGCCGCGGGGGCAGGTTTGCTTCGCAGGCGCTCGCACTCGGCGGCGGGCGGGCGCGCGGCTGCAGCTGGAGCTCCAGCGCCCGGAGTTGGAGTTGCCGGGAGTTTCCCCCCCCCCGACCCCTCCCTCTGGGCGCGCGGCAGCGGGAGTCGGCGCGGGAGCCGCGAGCGGCGGCGAGCCAGCGCCCGGGCGGGCCGAGCCTTGTCCGGAGCTCGGAGCCCCGCGCGGGACAGCCCCCGGGGAGGAGCCTCGCCGGCTGGGACGCGTGCCGCGCACTGGCACTGCCCGGGCACCAGCCGGGCTGCACGGTAGGGCCGGGGCGTGGGGCGCCGGGCGGGCGAGGCAGAGGCCAGGCCGGGGTTGGGGGTGGGGGGAGATGCGGCTGCAGCAGCCGCGGCGGTCAGGGCGCCCCGCGCTCGGTCCGATGCGGGTGGCCGGGGCAGCGATCCCGTTGCGGGGCCAGAGGAGTAGGCAGGCGCCCAGAGATACGCGTTCAAGTTGGCGGGCGGCGGGAGAGGGGGCTGCGCGCCCAGGCGCAGCTGCTTTGTGCGCGCAGTGAGGGACTCGGTCCCTGGTTCTCCCCAGACCTGGGACCCGGTGTGCGGGAAGGGTTGGGCAAGCCGCGGAGCGGAGCAGTTTCCTCCGAGAAAGTTGAGGATGGAGCCCTTCTTTCCGCACTGTCCCCGCGGTAGGATGAGTCCCGAGGGTGCCGCCCCGAGGTCCCAGTGTGGAGGAGCCGAGTGGGTCGCTGCGCCCCTGGGCTGAGTTCCTCACCCCTGGCTGAAATCCGCGAATCACCAGATCTTCGCTTCCGTGGCGTCTTCTAGGAAAATCATTCCTGCCAAAACTGAGGTAGGCTGTCCGGGCGGCACGGCTCCCTACCTTCAGGGCGTGTAGCTGGGCGCTGCCCCCTCCCCAACCTCCGACGTGGTCAAGGGCGCGGGGTTTCGAGTTAGCGCGAGTAGCGCGGGTCGGAATCGAGCCCCACGCACATGGGGCAACATGTCTGGGGTAGGCGAATGGTACAGTTTCTCCTCCAGCCTTTCCTCAGGTTTACAGCACCCCGCCAACCCCATCCTGTTCTTCGCAGAGGACAGGACTTGAAGGGAAGGACCAGGTGGAGAGTTTGAGTTGACATTCTGCTCCTTAGGAGAGGGTGCCTGGATTGTATCTACCTTGGGCTCTGGCCCCAGGACTTCATAACGAATCCTCTCTTTTATTATTCTTCCTCAGACACTGGGTGGGAAAGAATAGGGCCAGTGGGTCCACCAGAATGTCCGCCTCACCCCTCGGGCTCCTAACATCGCGTTGCAGGCTACCCCAGGACCCTGGAACTGGCATTGTGCAGATTGCCGGGGTGTGGAGGACGCTGCTGGTTTCTTCTAGCTCCACTTTTTTCACTTCTTGTTTTGAGTTTTGGGGTTTTGCCTGCACACAAGTCAGAGCTGCGCTGTCATAACCCTGCGGGGGGGAGGGGGGGAGGCGGCTAGTGGTGGTGGAGGAGCTTCAGCCAGGCAGTGAGCCGCTGTTCGCCTCAGAGGCTGCTAGTGGGAATTGGTCCAGAAATGATTATGCAGGCTAGAAATATGCCTCTCTTTCTCTCCTTTTTTTTTTCTTTTTTGGCTGAACACCTTGGCTGTTGGGTTTGTGTGTTAAGTTCTTAAAGGGGCACCTACACACTGCTCCAGTGCCATGCTTTAGGGGCTCACCATTTCTGCTGTATGTTTCTATTTTGCTTTTTCCTTGGGGTTAATCTGCTTTGGGGCAGATTTCCAGCTGTGGAAATCACATGGCGTGGGTACACAGGTTCTAGAGTCAGACCTGAGGTCAAGTTTTAGCTTGATAGCTGACAGACAAGTAGCCACTCTGAACTTCAGTTTCCTCTTCTATCAAATGGGGACGCTAGGGGCCTTATCTCCTTTCATTGCAGGATTGTTTGAGACTTGGGTGAGATAATAGAAATGAAGGTTCTAAGAAAACTTGAAAGCACCGTTCAGGTCTTATTGTGGCTGTGCTCTTTACTCAGTTTTTCTGAATTAATGAATTCTTTTAATTATACCAAGACACCTAACTCTTCTCCCCTCTACCCACTCCTCACCAAGAGGCTTAGTTAGTTGCTCAGGTCTTTGGAAATAGCTGTGTATCTTTTTTTTTTTCTTTTCCTAAAATCCACCTCTCTTGATTTTAAGGATTGAGGCTCGAGCTCTCATATTTATCTGAGGGAAGAAGCATGATGTAGATTAGGAGAGCTCCAGGGTTGCCTTACCAATGTTCAGAGTCCTGGGCCCCAGAATTGGCATGTCAGCTAGACCCCTGTGAAGACACCTAAGGCTGATGAGTCAGCAGACCCTGGGCTGGAGCTCTGACTTGGTCTCCAACAGTGACCTTGAACTAAGGACTCAACCCCTCATCAGTCTGAGATTAAGAGCCAATAGTCACCAGAGACAAGAATGGGTGGGATTTCCTCTCACTCAGCTAGTAAAGGTTTTATCGGGCTCCTGAGCCTCCCTGGTGCTGCATCTTCCCTAATCCTAGGGCAGGGATTCTCAAGCGTGAGCATCAGAGTCAACTGGAGGGCTTGTTAGAACAAAGATTGCTGGCCTGCGCTGGCAGAGTCTCTGATTCTTTAGGTCTAGGGTGGAGGTAGGGGGGCCCAAGAATTTGTATCTCTAACTAGTTCCAGGTGATGCCAGTGCTGCTAAGTCCAGGGACCATGCCAATAAAATCACTGACTTACGGCAGGGAGGGCTGTGTGTGAGAGAGAGAAAGAGGTGAGGTTTGTTCTGAAATGCAATTATTTTAATACTTCAGGTAAGACAGGGTGTTTTGGAACTTACCTAAAACACTATATTTCCAGTACCTGTGTCCACTTACCATTGTCCAGTTTTGTAGTTCTGATTGCTCTTCAAATGAATGCATTTTACCCACACAGAAATCACACACTGTAAAATCTTCAGTCCCTGGTTACTAGGTGACTCCTGAGTAGACTGAGATTGGTGACCCCAATATTTATAAATCCAACAACTACCCTCTTCCTTTCTTTGGGGATCTCAGACATTTGTGTGGAGGGGATGCATAAAGTTAGGGCAGCTTGAACCTTAAGATTGGAGAGCAGGTCGAATAAGCAAGTGTTAAAAAAAAAAAAAAAAACCCTGGCAATGTGGTGCCTTCTCTGAATGAACGGCTTACCCAGACCTGGCGGGGTGGGGGAAGGTGAAGTATACTCTATGACAGATGTTCTGTGGTGGTCAGACCTGGCAGAGGCCTTCCCTTCCTCTGTCGAATGGTGGTGTCGTCCGTGACTGAGATCCTCTCTCACTCTGAGGGGGAGGAAGGCTGACTTTCAGGACAGCCGTGCAGTATCAGCCTCTCGGTATCATTTCGCTGATAATCAAGCACTGTTTGGCACAACCCAATCTTAAGCTCTTCTCCTTGTCCCCCAAGCTAGCGTGCTGGGCTGAGAGCCCACCATGACTAGTTGTGGCCTTGAACTTTAACTTCTTTGTATCAGAGAGGCCTTGGGAGGGAGCCTGCTTGAGTTGGGAGGGCTCCTGAGATGACATCCTACAGAAAAAATAAGGTTTATGTAGCACCCAAATGACTAGGTGTAAGAGGAGATGAACACTTTAATAAGTTCTTGTGTTGCCTTGCCAAACGGAATCCCGGCTGACCGCATGCTTTATCTTAGCTCTCCATTTGTGCTTTGTTCTAGTTTTAATATGATTAGCACTAGAAAGACCTATCAGTAAAATCAGAGACCTATTCAAAAACTCAAGTGTACCATTTAGTGTTTTAGTAGATAAAACTGCAAGGCCCCTGCCTGTCTTCCTGATGGTATTCAGCACACAGTGAAGAAACACCTTCCGGTTGTAATTCTTCAGATTCACTAGCTAATTTAAATGGTTTCTTCTACTTAACATGAGTAGGGAACGTTTCTATTTTAAAATTCTTTCCCATAACTTGATGTTTATATTTTGGGTGTTACCCCTACTTTTCCCTGCTAAGCTTGCCTTTCCAGTGTGGGGGAGGCTTCTTTCCTTATCTCTGTCATTAGCTTTTCTTAGCACATGACCACTTGGTATCTTCGCTCCCTTGGGTAAGTCTGTTGTGAGACTGACTGTCCTTACGATACCTTATTTCTCTTTGGTCCTTGGATGGTTCTGGGTCAGAGAGAGTCACAGCCCATTCCGGGAACAGTGTTCTCCACCACCTTCCTAGAGCGTGCTTAAACTAAAACTTGGGTTGTATGGTGCTAACGCAATTCTAAAATACATTTTTTTCCTCCACATTTTATCATTTTCCAATTTCAGAAATCTGGATGGGTCTTCAAAATTATGAACACTTTTAATTGTGTTTTTTTCTTTTTCTGTAAACTGACATGGAAATAGAGTGACTTCCAATTGACAATATTCTAAAACAAAGCAAATTTGATTCCTTATGCAGGTAGAAAATATGGTTTCCACTCCATGCTGTCCAGCTGATAGAATTAAGCAACAATTGAATTAGCTTAGCAGTTTCCAGAGTACATCAGAAGAATCCTATTGGGGTGGTGGTTAATAGGTGTGCTCTTGAAAAGGGCAGATCAATGTGGAAGCGCTGCCTGTTATTTTTCCCTCTCAGAGATTCTCAACATGTGCATCATCATATCAAAGTCTCTGAGTTAAAAGTCTCAACAACAAAATCTTGGTTATATTTAATCAATTAAATGTTTCCCAGAATGCAACATTTTTGAGGTTATGTGTGGATCTTCTAATACTCCATTACCAAAGTAGCACATCCCAACAATTCTAATATGGTAATTAACATCAACTATGGGTGG